ACAATTGAGATTTAAAAAATGTACAAAATGATGTAAATATAAACTATTATTTAAAAAAAAATCTGACAAAGGGGGAAAAAAAAACCCAGGTATGCAAAGGGAAAAAAAAATATTTCCACCACATAAGAAACTCATGCATATGTGGCAGAGCTGGTGCGACGGGACCGCCAGCCGCTCGGCTTCCTTCCCACTCTCTGCGAGGGCCCGCGTGCTGGCAGCCCAAGGTCGTTGCTAGAATGCCAGCCAGCGGGGAGGGCTGAGTCCAGCGCATTCCGCCACAGGCAGACTTCTCGGGCTCCGAAAGGCGCCCTTGTCTGTCGATGGCCAGGATGCACTCTGGGTCCCGCGCCCATGGACCCAGTAACATTGGGGAGATGGGAGAAGGTGGACAGGGTGGACAGTTGGCAACCAGTCTGCCTTCGGCCCCAGTAGGGGCCGGTAGGTGGCTACTGTCCGGAGTGTCTGTCTGCCCGAGGGGTCCTCACCCACTTGAGAAGCTCACGGTTCTGGGTGCCCGCCCACGTGAATGTCAAGGACTGTTGTGAACTCTAGTGCTTCTTAGCAAGGTCAGGCTTGCTTTGATTTTTAATCCAGAAACCTTTCTTTGCATAGAGCTGGGGCAGAAGTGCAGAGGAGAGGACTCACCAGACACTGGGGAGCAGAACGGGCAAATTTATGCCTCTCGGGTCTGGTGGGGGGGTCATAAGCTAGGAGGGGAGAACACCAGCCTCGAGACTGCTGTTAGAGACTGTCCACTGCTGTGGCCTGTTCGTCCTGGACTCTGCCCTGGACCCTGCGAGCTTGAGGGGTCGGGGGAGGGACCTGCAGTGATTCCCTCCCCCCACCTGTTGTTTCTTTTTTTAACTTAGAGCTGAAAGGATTAGAATCCCTGAACCTTGGATCACACCTCCAGATCTGCAGGAGAAAATCCACATTTTTGCCCAAAAATGCCTGTTCCTGACGGAGAGCCTGAAGCAGTTCACAGGTATGTGAGGAGGGGCCGCAGGGGCAGGCTGGGCTCCCGCGTGCCCGGTGCTGCCTGGCGGGTGGGTGACGGTTCGGTTGTGGGGCACAAACTGAGCACCTCTTTTTCTCCCCTTAGAAAAAATGCAGTCGGATATGGAGAAAATCCAAGGTAATTTTTTGTATGTAATGGGCTTTTGATGTTGAACCCTCCTGGGCAGATGAAGGGGTGCGCGCAGTAGCCAGCCTTACCTGCAGTTGCATAGCCTTTTGCTGGCTCGTTTTCAGCTGAACAGCCTCTTGTTTCTGTCTGAAGTCTCTGAACTCAATCTGGTCAGTTCTCTGCTGTAGTGAAGGAGAAAAATAATTCTTTGCTGTTAACCCAGAATGAACTGGATTTTTAAAATTTTTTCCCTCCTCCTCGTGAGAGAACGAGCAGGAACTGGCCTAGTGGGTTTCCTCTGGAGCAGGGTTTATAAACATATCTGCCGGTCCGTGTCGGCTGAGGCCGCGCCCTGTGACGTCCCCTCCCTGAGGGAGGTGACGGCAGTTCTAGCCTCAGTGCGTACTGCGTCAGGAGCCACCATGTCTCAGGGCTGAGGACCGAAGGGACACGGAATGAAGCAGTTCCGTTTGGTGACGTGTCCTCAGCACTAGGACAGCGCTGCGAAAGACAAAATGCTGTGGCCGCCCCGGAGAGGCTGGTTCCGCGGCCGCGTCCCCGGAGCCCCTTTCATTCTCCTAAGGGCAGATCCCCATCCTCTCCGGAGACGGAGGGGTGTCTAGGCCGAGCCCCCTTGCGTCGGCTGTCACGTGCATGCTTTCCGGCATTTGGGGACACGGCTGGGGCGCGCGGTCCCGCTTCTTGCGCGGATGCCCAAGGGAGCCGTGTGCAGCCGCCGGTCCCTGACCTGGCTCTCGTGCGCTCCCAGGCCCCTTCGAGTCCGCTGGGGACCGCCCGTGTGGACGCGCTCTCGGCTGCACAGTGCCTGTGTGGTGGCCCTCCGGCCCCCCAGCCTGGGGCGCAGAGTGGTCCGTGGCCTGGGCCTGGGGTCTGCTTCAGAGCCAGCTGCCCGGCAGGGTACACGCTCCCTCCGTCTTGATCTCTGTGGCCAAGCTTCCGCCCAGCACTCCCGGCCCCGCGTCCCTTTGAACTCCAGGGCGATGGATTCACGCATCGAGCGGGGCCCTGGCGGCCCAGGTGGAGCCCGCCTGTGTGACTGCCCAGCCCTTCAGTGAGGGAGCTTCTGGAGCACGCAGGTGACATCCGTAACCTCTTTTCCCTTTGTTCTTTCAGAGTTGAGAGAGGCTCAGCTATACTCAGGTAGGTGCCAGGGATCGAACCGTCCAGGGCAAGGAGTAGAAAGCCCTGGCAAAGCTAACCCTGTGGAGAGTGGTTTTGGACCTCACCTAAGTGTGGACCCTCCAGGCTGCGTACAGAAGTGACACAGCCCACAGCAGCGCGGCGCTGCGTGCGCTCCAGCGTCTCTGCCCTACGGCGCTTCAGAGTTGGAGCTGTGGGCTTGAGATTCCGCTGAGGCGCGTGAGGATCGGTGAGGCAGCGTCAGCCCCGAGGCTGGGGCTTCTAGCCCCTGCTGCCTGCCCTGCTTGGGGGCTGTGCAGGGTTTTTCGAAAGCTGCCCTTCTCCCCAAGAGTGGCTGAGTTCAACTTGGGAGTGCTGGAGGTCTGGGGGGGGTCACCCCACCACTGGCTCCTGGCCAGTGGAAGTGCCCTCTTCTCCTTGCCCAGCATCGCCACCTAAGGTTCAGAGAGTGGGTGAGTCTGTGACCCCCGTGGCAGCACGTGAGGTGGGGCGGGCTCGTCGGGAGCGAGGGACTCGGCGGCGGGCGGCCTCCCCGGTGCCGCCGGCTGTGGCCCACGCAGTGCTTGCAGCAGGTGTTAGCGCGGCGCCTGGCTCCGGGGCCGCCGCTGTGTGGGGACAGTGACAGCGAGACCTGCGGCGGCGGGAGGGCACGTGGCGGGAGCAGGCTGGCGGCTGGCGTGGCCGGTGGCACCTGTACTTGGAGCAAGCAAGTGGAGGTGCAGGTGGTGATTCTGGGCACGTCAGCGAGAGGGGGTGCAGCCAGCGGGGGGCTTGGAGTCGCTCCTCAGGGAGCTCGCGGCAAAGCTGGCTCTTCCTCGCTCGGGCGCTCTGCCCCCGCTGACTGCCGCCTCTGTCTCTGCAGTGGACGTGACCCTGGACCCAGACACGGCCTACCCCAGCCTGATCCTCTCCGACAACCTGCGGCAAGTTCGATACAGTTATCTCCAGCAGGACCTGCCCGACAACCCCGAGCGCTTCAATCTGTTCCCCTGTGTCCTGGGCTCGCCGTGCTTCATCGCCGGGAGACATTACTGGGAGGTCGAGGTGGGGGACAAAGCCAAGTGGACCATAGGCGTCTGTGAAGACTCGGTGTGCAGGAAAGGTGGCGTGACCTCGGCCCCCCAGAACGGATTCTGGGCCGTGTCCCTGTGGTACGGGAAGGAGTACTGGGCGCTCACCTCCCCGATGACGGCCCTCCCCCTGCGGACCCCTCTCCAGCGGGTGGGGATTTTCTTGGACTACGATGCAGGCGAGGTCTCCTTCTACAACGTGACAGAGAGGTGCCACACCTTTACCTTCTCCCACGCCACCTTCTGCGGGCCCGTGCGGCCCTACTTCAGCCTGAGCTACTCGGGAGGGAAGAGCGCAGCGCCGCTCATCATCTGTCCCATGAGTGGCATCGATGGCTTTTCCGGCCACGTTGGGAATCACGGCCACTCCATGGAGACCTCCCCTTGAGGAGCTGCACTCGGGCCCAGGGCTGTCGGCCGTCGTCCTGCCCCAGGCGTAGGGCGCTGGTGCTCGCCGCTTCCAGTCCGTGGCTGCCGGGTGGCCCCGCCGCCTCCTCCCCCTCCCACTGCAGATTGTGAGATGGAATGAAACTGCCAAGAGGCCCGGCGGGCCACCGCCAGCGTTTGCGCGGCTTGGTCACACATTCCTGGAGGGACCGCGAGTCCCGATGGCCTTTGGATGTGGAGGCCGAACCAGGGCCCGCGTCTTGACTCAGCGGGGCGCCTCCGGCTAGGCCCCGTGACCCCGCTGCGCCACTTCCGGAAGAGGGCTCCTGTCCACAGCTGAGAGGAGCTGCGGCCTCTGCTGCGTGGCTCCCTTTCTCCCGGCTCCTCACCGGCCGTAGTTTTCTGGATTCCATTCAAGAGGCCTGTGTGTGTTGGCTAGTTGCAGTGTTCACAAGGATGGTGGGAAACGACCTCATCTCCGCCGTGAGAGGATGTGCGGATCAGTGTGCTCTCTGCCTCAGCCCTCTCCCGAGGGCTGTCTGCTCACCTCGTTCTCAAGAAAGGTGTGTCCAGGTGCTGGATGCAGGTCACCACGCTCACTCCCCCCACAGTCCACTGCGCCGAGCTCCTCTCCCCCTCACCTCCGCGGACTGACGGTCAGTCACGCCTCCCCCCGGAAGGGTCCTGGACTGTGTTCCAGGGGTTCACTGACTTTTTGCCTCCTTTTCTCTGCCTCCTCTGGGGGGTGGAGGAACTGACCCTCGCGCGTACACCATCCAGGGGCGGCACACCCCCGTGGCCTTCGGGGCCCCGGTATTCAGGGGTGAAGACTAAGGCAGGTCACTTGGAGCCAGCCCCCGTGATGGTTCTTCGTCCCGTTTCTCTTTGGGTACATGCCCCTCTGTTTGAAAATAAAGTGAATATGGATGTTGTTACCTTGTTGTGGTCTGGGTCGGGTCTTGGGGTCATGGCTGGGGCATGGAATTGGAGGTGGGTTCATGTGTTCAGCTCCCCCTTGGGTCCAGAAGCCTGCTCTGGCCAGTATTTTACTTTCCAGTAAGCAACTTTCTCAGTATCGTGCCCCTCCTAATGCTGCTGAGAACACGCTAAGTGTCTGCAGCCCGTACTTCTGGCTTGGTCAATCCTGTCACTTCTCTAAGAGTTGTTCTCCCAAGTCCTTTTTTGGAAGTGGCAGAGGGGGACGCACCTGTGCCTGGCACACCTTGGAGTGGCCAGAACTTGCTTCCCAACCCAGAACTCCCAACATGAGCTTGTGGGGGTGCTAAGATCACCAAGTGCTGAGGAGGAGATAGCCTGAGACATTTCCCTTCCTGGAGAGGATTTTTCTCTGCTTCTGGGCATTCTGTGGAATCCTGTCCACAGAAGACGGAGTTCAGTGGTTTGTACTTCATCCTATTAATAGGGGTTCAGTGGCTGAAGATCATCAACTGGCAATGCCATGTCCTAATACACTGCTTTGTTCACCCGGGAAATACAACTGGGTCGACAGGGGATTCAGTGCAGCCAGGTTGGCTGGGCTCAAGCCTCTCACATAGGGACCGGACATGGGAAGTGTCACTCGCAGACACGCCCATGTCTGCGGCACAGTGGTTTGTCAAAGCTCACGCCGTACACAACGGGAATCGCTGCCCTAGTCTCAAAGATGCACAAACTGGAGCCCGGGGGAGCGTGACTTGTCCCAGGCTCGGGCCAGGAACCGGCATGGCTGGGATTCTCTGAGGCTGGTACAAGACCTGTGCTGACGGGTGCTGCTCGAGAATTCACATACGCGTCCTGCTTTGCGTCCTGCTTTCCTGCTGGGCAGGCGGAGCAAACGGAGCCTTGCAGGCCGGCCGGTCCGTGGGGCTGGGATGCCTGTCAGTTTGTTGACTCAAGTGTCAGTAGCTGGGAAGCTGGTGTAGATGCCCAGTCAGAGTCACATTCCATTTTCGGTTTCCTCCATCAAGGCAGAGGGAATAAGGGCCCAGGAAGAGGGCAGCTTGCTTGGGAATGGACTCCGGACCTCCCTGTGGAGTGCTGCAGCTGGGAGGGCCTCACTGCATCAGACCCAGTGCTCTGAGAGCAGCGTCTTCGTGCATTTCTGTCACAGCAGAGCAGCTGGAGCAGTGATCAGCCAAGCAACCGTGGCTTCAGCAAAGTGGCTTCAGCTGATCCTACTAGCGGTGCTGAGTGAAAACTGTCTCAAGAGAATTCCACCGCACACCTTACCGAGTGTGGGCAAAGGAGCGTGGTTACTGTGGGAGGATGGCAGGATGGGAGGGAGGAGGTGGGCCTAATTTATCGGTTACTGCTTATTTCTGGTCCTGGTGAGTGGTGACCTCACACATTTTTTAAAGATTTACTTAACGCATACAGAACTGGGGTACAAGCGAGAGGGGGGAGGCAGTGAGACTGAGACAGAGTGGGGAACAGAACAGGTTGAGGGAGCAGCGGCACGCCATGTGGGTCAGCTCCCTGCCGGGAACTGAACTCATGCTGCCGTGGCTGGGGAGGGCTTTATAATGCTGCACTTTTAATTTGTTGCGTCACCAGGGAGGACCCCACAGATTATTTTTAATGAGTTTCAATGTTTTGTGATTATAAATTTTCTCACCTGCAGACAGGTAAGCAACATCTGAATTCACTGAATCAGGATCTGGGCCCCTTTCTGACATGGGACCATGTCATTCTTTTGGATCTTCTTTGGGTCTTTTCTCGGTACATCTGAAGTTGCTAAATATGAATTAGAACTCTGACCACTCCTCAGTCTCTAATTCTTTCCTACCCCAGGGAAAGTGTGCAGACACTTGCTCTTTCTGCTACTTGTCCAGCAGGGAGAGAGGAACGCCCTTTCCAAGAACAGACAAGGTGCAGATGGCCAGGTTCAGAGAATGAAAGGAAACGCCCTCCAAGGTGAACAACTGACACGACAGAATAGTTACGAGTGCTGCTCACCGCTGCACAATTAAGAGCAAAAGGCTGCCACGCGGTGAGGGAGCCTTCGGTTATCCGCAATCCTGACAGAGCACAGATGGAAGCCACGTCTCCCTGCAGAGTAAAGCCCAAAGAGTTGTTGGCAGCTGCCGTCTCACAAATGGGACAATTCCTTCACACCAATATAGTCTACCAGGGTCGTGGCGCTCCCTAGATGAACTTGGCTTTTTTTTTTTTTAAGATTTATTTTTTAATCTCTTTAAGCATACAAGAACTGGGGCGCATGGAGAGCAGGCAGATCTACTGAAATACACTGCTGAGGGGAGCGTGGGCAAGACGGGAGGCCTGTGTGCCAGGGAGGCCAGCTCCTTGGCCAGGGGAGAAGGCCTCCGTGGCCGGCAGTAGCTGGGGAGCTCTGAGCCCCACCCCTCTGCCACCAGGGCGGCCCTGAGATGGAGTCTTGTGAATACAAGAGAACATGCCATCTGTCCTTAGAAGAGTTAACAGTCAATTAACAGGGGAAAAAATCACATCTGGTAGAGAGCACCAGAGATGGCCTGTGGGCGAGTGAAACACTGCATGTCACAGGAGACCGGAGTATGGACCGTGGTGGTCTGAGAGGAAACTCAAGTCCCAGGCCTGTACTTCGCAGAGCCCTTTTTCTGGAGGCTGCGAGGCTGGTAGCTGCTAGCAAGACACTGCATTGAGTTTTGACTTGATTAGTAATCAAATCACTAGGCCCTCGAGCCTTTTATCCAGGGATTCCTCCGAGGTTAGGCCTCCCTGAAGGAAGATGAGAAAGCCCACCAGCGGTGGTGTAGATAGCTGTAGAAGGAACCGGCTTTGCCAAGGTGTTAGTAAAGTAGCTAAGGTTTCAAATTGTGTGAACAGTGCTTGATCTTGATGATGCTGTACCAGTTACATTCCCTTTTTCCAAATCAGACAGAAGATTTTCTCAAATCTGGCTTATTGGCTTTTTCATCTGAAGTATGAAGTCTAGTCAGAGTATTTTGAGGTACACTCATATCGCCTTCGCAGGTTCCTCATTTGGCGCACACACAGAATTTGTCTGGATCATAGTGTGGCTTGTCATTGCTAAACCCTATTGGGGGGGTCTCATACACAAAATAACTGGAAGAGAAAAAAAAACTTTTTGAGTGTAGCGGTCTCACATTTTTCAACCTACATATTTAAAGAAAACTGGAAAGGATTATAGGAACATAGTAACATGCTTTGATGAGACTGAGCGACCTTTCACCTCCATACTAAATTCTTCCCTATGGAACTCTTTAAGCACACAAAGAAACTACACAGTGGTTAAACAGCCCAGCCCCATACCATCTCCGCTTTCAGCTGCCAGTTTATGGTCAATCTCATTTTGAATATAACTTCATCTCCGTTTCTTCAACCCTTGTGACTTTTAATAATTCTTCAAACCTTTCAAAATCCTATGTGGAGTCTCACTGGTGGCGCAGGGGTTAAAGTCTCAACCACCAGCCACTGAGGCTTGAGTCCCTTCCCAGCCAGGAGCTGACCCACAGGCACAGCAGACCACTCCTGTCTCACCTGCTGCTCCCCTCAGCAATGGATTTCAGTCGCTAAATCTGTTCTGCTCCCCAGAATCCTGTCACCACCCTCCACCTCTGCCTACATACCAGTTCTTGTATGCATAAATAAACAATAACAAACCTTTTTAAAAATCTTACTTGTAGAAGATATTTTCATACAAATGAATGCCTCCCTCTAGGGAGTTTTCTTGCACAATAAGTATTGTTAGTAACAGTAAAGAGATTTACAAATTATCACCTTATTCCAGAAAGGACTTCAAGTCCTTTCAAACATAAAGTCAAGGTAGTATGAGTTTAACTTGATGAAAAGAAAGGGACAAAAATGGACAAGGGATAAAGTAAACGTGGGACATCACAAGGACAGTGAAAGCGGGGCACTGTTTGTTCTCGGAAGGATCGACAGCACCCTTAATTTCATAGCTCAGGTGTTGCCTGTGACACGGGAACGGACTCCACCGTAAGGGTCATTTTACGGAGAAGACAGGAACTTCTGCCTGGGCTCTTGGTAAATGGAAATGGTCACATGGGTTTATCATTCACATAATGAGTTTTACAAATGAATAAGGACAGTTAAATATGTTAAAAATCGATAATTTCCTGAGAAAGAAAAATTATTAAATATTAATGTTGAGCTTCACTACTCAAGTATAAAAGAATGCCTTACACTCTTCACGCATTAACACATTTTCTTCTGGGTCTCCCTGTGGTACAGGGGTTAAGTGTCAGCACTATGAAACTGCTGGCCCACTGGAGCAAGAGCTTGACCCCCAGCCAGGAGCTGACCCACAGGGCGCAGCAGACCTCTCCTGTCTCCCCACGGCTCCCCTCAGCAGTGGGTTTCAGAACCTGCGTCCGGCTCCCCACTCTGTCTCCAGTGAATCCTCTCACTCGCACACCTCTGGCCCATACCCCAGCTCTTATATGCATAAATAATAAAAATGTTAAAGGTTAACATTTGTTCATGAATCACAGTATTCTGTTTTCGTCACAGAATTTCAAACCTTTTGATAGAAAGTAGGACAGTATGTATCAAAACTCTGGGCACAGCTACTGTAACAGGGTGCTCCCTAGGCAAAGGGGAAGTTCCAGGTTCCCTGCCCCACCCAGGAGGAAGATGGAGCTGAGCAGAGATAAGGAGAGAAGAGAAGAGGAAGAAGAAAGCAGGATGGAGAGCCAGAAGGAGACCCGAGGAAGCCACACGGAGCAGCGAGCATGTGATGGAGACACCCGGCTTGTTTCCTGACCCTGGACTGATTGAAAGAGATGTGGGTGAGAGCCCGTGGGGAGGTGACCGTGGCAGTGTTTATATTGATTTTGATGTTGCTCTTTTCCTCCCAGACTTGTCTGGCCATTTCTGACCCTGTTCCATGGGTCCCCACCAGAAGGTGTTTTAGTCTTGTGGCAGCTTTCAGGCCTTGCTTTGAGCCCATCCC